TTTATATGCTTCAGTAAAAATAACTTTGTGTGACTGAACATCAGTTTATCCAATATATGACTGATTATACATTCGGTCCAGAGCACCAATGTGTGTATAAAAAGAAACATTATCCAATACAAGCAAATATGAAAAAAGAAAAAAGTCTTACTTGTTCTGTCTCATATATCATTCTTCTGTTTGAATTTCCAAGAACTTTACCTGCTCTGACCCCGCCATCTCTGTCATTGCTCTGCTCAGAAGTGACACAGCACAGTCTATGTTACAGGCTAAATGAGAGCAGTCACAAATCAGTGCTCAAGAGACCAGGACTAAAAGATCAGTCACCCTCTATCTGATATAACTCACCATACACAAAAGGCTTCCTGAAAAAAAAAAAAAAAAAAAAAAAAAAAAAAAAAAAAAAAAAAAGGCAGAAAAAACCAGCTTGTGAGAGAAAGGAGTAGTGGATTCTGAAGTAATGTCCACTGCAAAGAAATAGTGGTTATTCTCCTTATTGTTATTACTGTAACTCTCTTTAAATAAACAAAGGGTCAAAGGACTAATTTTAAGTACCCTTGGAATACTTCGGGTGAAGAGGCTCATTGAGTCTGTTCTGTTTCACCAGGTTATGTATGTATATTCCTTGTCTATTAACAGAACAGACAAATCGTTTCATGTGTGTGGCCCCTCAGGCAGGGTTTAGCCCTCAAAAGGACAATGCATATTAATCGGGAAATGTCAAGAGCCAGCTCTGAAGATTAGCTTGGCTTTGTAGTATTGTATGGAAAATGCATGATGATAACCGTTGCTGAGCTCACCACTCATAAATATTTAAGTGATCAGACACAACAGACAGGCATCTTTATTGTTCAAGATCAGACGTACAGTGTGAGGCACAAAGCACAAGAATAAGTGACTTTAGCTACTTTAAAAGTACATTTCCTTAGAAATGCATTTGTGAACTTAATATATTTTCTTCCCATATTCAAAAAGGGAAGATCCCCCCATTTATATATTCAGTAGCCGTTACTGGCAGTCACTGACACAGCTAAGCCCCTTCTGATGATTTGGAGAAGATGGCTGTACTGTGGATTGCAACACCCCTTCATAGCCAACAATGGGACTGCATCTGATATTGAACTAGAATAGCAAATCCTCAAAAAGGAGTTCAAAATTACAGAAGCAGATTCTGCAGGTTTGTGTCTGAGATTCAAAAAGTGTGGGAGATGTCTTTATGATTTAAATAATTATTTCCAGCATGTTACATTCATACACAGTCACATTTTCTGAAAAAACGATTTTTCTTTACTGAAATAAGCAGTGATTCAAACTTAAATGTTGATTGTCAAGTATTCTAAATCAACTGCTGTAATTCCGTAACCATCTTAAAAACTGCAAATTTTACCAGGCTTATTGAGGTGTTCCAGGACAGAGGTAGAGTTTTGAAACAATATAGGTAAAGAGAAACCTAGCAAAATCAGATTTAAGGCACTCTGAGACAGAAACAAGGGGTTAGGTTGCTGCTTCCAGACACAGTGGAGAAGAGCCCTGAGATAAGTGGGGCCTAAATGATGGACTATGAAAATGATATTAAAGAAAATACAAATATAGACCTGCCATTGGTTTTAACTCTTTTCCCTCTGATGCTTTAGATAAATCAATATGCTTTTCTGTAATATTTTTTTTCCTCCTACTCCAACTTCTGCTATTCTCTCTTGTTTATGAGTAGGGCTAAATTCTGGTTAGACTGTGGAGGAAAAACATCCATATTTTTTACTCAGAGACCAGTGTGTGACAACTAACAGGACTTCTCCCTGTCAGAAGCACAAAGACAGGGCAGAAACTTGGAAAGCTTGTCAAAGGGAAGAGCAGTTGAGTATTCAAAGGTACAGGCTATCTTGAACTACAACAGCAGTGTCATGCCAAGGGGATGCAATACCACCATAGTTTTATATCCCTTATGGGACGTGATATTGCAGCCACATTACCTTCCATTTATCTAACAGCTTCTGGGAAGCTAGAGGAAAGGTCTTGGAAATTTCAGGCCAGTTAGTTTATTAAAATTATGATTCTTGCTCACCAGTGACTCCACTGTCCTTAAGCAATTACAAATCAGTTGCCGCAACCTTTTTTATGAGAGGCAACAGGCCATAGTAGCACAGGTTATTCAACACTGCCCTGCAGGGAGATGTGAACTGAGGGGAAAGCTAGCCACTGACTGACCCCTCTGCTGAAATTGTTGGCTGATGACTGCCTATTTTGCTAATGATAGCACACTACCAGGAATTTAAAAGACAAACACAAAAAACCTCAAGAAAGATGCTTAGAGTGTTGTTGGACTGCAAAGTCAATGTAAGCTTTGATTGGCACATACAAGTCATCTATTAGTCCTGTTCACTGTGGTTTCCTCGCTACCTTGGCCATTTTTAGCAGGATGAATCAGTGGTACCACATCCTCCATATGAATCAAACTAATTGTAACCCATCACAAGACCTCATCTGCTGTTATAAGGCAGGGAGATCTACAGCTCTGCTGACTTCCATTCCAATTCTGCAGGAAAACAAGGTTGCACTGCAGATCACAACAACATGGGCACTATAAAACTGCTGCTGCTCAGCTGATGAAGTCAAACTGCATATGTCAACTTCATTAAGGAAGGTGTGTTCAACGTGTTACTTGTCTACTTGAACAGCTGAAGTGCAGTTTCATTCTGCTTTTTTTTTTTTTTTTTTTTTTT